GCCCTAGCCACTTGAGCTACAGGCACCGAGCCTAATTTATGTTTTTAATCTACCCATAATAGTACTTTACCAAGTACCAATAAAGCTGCTGTAAACACTCATGTGCAGGTTTGTGTGGATATATATTTTTAATTCTTGGGCAAATACCAGTATGTGCAATTGTATGATAAGACTATGTTTGGCTTTGTGAGAAACTACCAAACTGTCTTTCAGAGTGGCTATAACATTTTGCATTGCCACCATCAATGAATGAGGAAAAATGCATTGAAAATACTATAATCTAGAGAAATATTATATACTATAGGCATACTGTATAATAGGATATAGCTATTATAGAGGAAATAGCATCCAAAATTACATATGCAATATAAAAATCTCAATTATATCTTAAAAAAGGAAATGCAAGAACTGGAAAGAAGTATACAAAAATATTAAATAATTGCTTTAGTGTAGAATTGTGGTTGTGCTTATTCCTGCCATGTTATATTTTTTCAATGAATTGTTACTAAACTATGATCAAGTATTACTTTTATAATTAAATTAATGAAAATAAATAATAATTGCTCCTTTCTTCCTTTGGTGGTAGGAACCTGCAAATAGTCGTCTACCTCCTCATCTTATTGCACTTGATTCCACGATACCTGGATTTTTTGATGACATTGGGTATCTGGATCTCTTGCCATGTCGTCCTTTTGACACAGTTTTTATTTTCTATATGAAGCCAGGTCAGAAAACGAACCAAGAGGTAAGAATTCTGAAAACAAACGTTTTTTTTCATAATTTTTGTGCTACAAATGTATTTGACTTAAAGAAACTGAAGCAAAATTAATATAGGTAGTTTATTTGGGCCAAGATTAAGGACTGCAGCTTGGGAAATACAGAAAAGTGTTCCAGAGACTAAAGGAAAGGCTCAAGTTTTTAGAGAAAAAAAGGATGAATTGGGAGATGGAATAATAATAAAAGTTCTTTGTCAGAAATTCTCATTGGTTTACAGAAATAACGTTTATCAGTGATTGGCTATACATTGTTGAACTATAGGGTATGAGGTCTGGTGCCCAGTGTAGGGCATGGTTAGATTAATTTATAGTAGCTATTAGTGTCAATACTCAATCTAGACTTCATATAGCAGGCAACCTGGAAATGATTACTTAGTTTGAAGATGGTGGGGAGAGTGGGGAGAGTAAGACATGACTGCTGTCTGTCACATTTCAGTGCTTCATTGGGCCTAATAATTTAAAGGGGCCTTGGATTAAAGTTTCCTTCCTTTTTCATATGAATATTTTATACTTGATGCTTAAAGACTTGTTACAAATCATTTCAAAAACTGAATTTGTGGGCAGCACCTATTACTCAGTGAGTAGGGTGCTGGCCCCATATACCAAAGGTGGCAGGTTTAAACCCGCCTCAGCCAAACTGCAACAAAAAAAATAGCCAGACGTTGTGGCAGGCGCCTATAGTTCCAGCTATTCGGGAGACTGAGGCAAGAGAATCACCTAAGTCCAAGAGCTGGAGGTTGCTGTGAGCTGTGATGCCAAAGCACTCTACTGAGGGTGACAAAGTAAGACTCTTGTCTCTAAAAAAAAAAAAAAAAAAAAAAACTGAATTAGTTGAAACCGTGATGCTTAGGGTTCTGAGTCTTTTGACCCATAAGGAATGTGGGTTAGACAGGAGCTTTAGCATACCTTTCTTCCCTTTAAGGAATTCATATTCCTAAGACAAAAGAAACTAAAATCACAAAATTAAGCACAAAAAGCTAAAGCTAAACCTAATTGCTTAGCTTAAGTAACAGCATAAATATTTACTGAACATTTTTCTTGTGGCTCAGTCTGCCAGGGAGAAGTTTACAACAAGTTTTCCTCTCGAGGATCTCACCTTTTAGGTAATTTCACAAGCAAATCAATTCAGTTAAGACATGCATAGTATACAGTGGGGAAAATAACACCTGAAATAAAGGATAAAAACAGAACACTAAGTGAAAGACAACTGGATATGTATAACAAAGAGACTAGGAGAAGGATGAAGAAATATATAAGAGGTGAGAATGGAAAACTGAGAGCAAATGGCAGATTTGTTGAAATTTTGGTTGCAAATGAATAGTGGAAACATGGAACAGGCAGGCAGTGAACTAGTGACTGTGACTAGAAAAGGGCCAGTGAAGATTTGTAAAATGTGGTATTTGGGTGTGCAGGACACCGTAGCTACATGATGCTAGAATGTTGCTCTAATCCTTATAAGCCCATTACCTAATCAAATTAGCATACCTTAAAGAATGTACTAAAGTCACAAAATGTTTACACTAGATGTACTATTTCAAATTATTGGTGAGCTATTAGGAAAGATAGATTTATGAGAAAGTTCATTTCATGTTACTGATTTGATAAATATTTACTAAGTATCTGCTGTTAGGTACCAGGGTTACAGTGGCAAACAAGATCTATAAGATTTCTGGCCTCCTAAAACTACTGTCAAGAGAGAAGACAAACGATTAAGCCACTGTAGTAAATGTACTGATAGGGGCACTAAACATTAAAGCGTGTTATAGGAACCATGACAGGAAAACCTAGCCTGGTTTGAAGGCTGTGTCCTAGAGGAAAAGACAGTTAAGCTGGTATTTGAGGTATACATTGACTGTAGTTAAAAAGTCAGATGCAGATTGTTACTGACAAAGTAATAATATGTGTAAATTTTCCAGAGGTAAGAGGGTATTGCATCTTTGTGAAATTTGTTACAGGATATGCTTGGAGCTTGGGAGAAAGTGGCCTGCTGGTAGCCAGGGATGATACTGGTAGGCTCCAGTATTTTTGAAGAACCTCAGTAAAATAGGATTAATTATAGAGATTAGGGATCTGCTTTGAAGGAAGTTTAGTGCATTGTTCACCTGAAAATAGTGGAGCCATTTTTCTCCTTCTTGTACAAGAAGACACAAACCCTTACGGCGACTCCTAAACCAATTTCTTTCAGTTCCTAGGGGCTGAGGGTGGCTAGGAAACGGTGAAGGTTTCCCGAGGCCTCCTTTGGAATGGCTGCAACCTGCCTCTTTGTAGGTTTAGATTAATTTCTGACTGTCAGCAAGTGCCCTGCAAGTTGAATTTGATTCACTTATTGCTGCGTGACTAAATTTCCGGAAGTTGTTTATTTAAATGTTTTACTACTAGATAAAAATGTTAATTGCAAAAACTGAAACTGTCAAATCACTTTCCTGTCACTGAAGAATATGAAGGATGAATTAAATGGGTATACTTCTAAAGACACTGGTGCTGTGTTTAAGAGGTAGTGACCTGGCAGTGATGCCCAGTGAAGTAATGGGTATAACATCTTATATTTTGACTTTGACAGGCTTCTCTTATGAATGGTATTGGTGATCTGTGCACTGGCTGCCTCAGACATTTGGGGAAGCTTTTTAAAAATAATGATTTTAGGGGTGGCAGCTATGGCTCAAAAGGGTAGGGTGCCGGCCCCATATGTCAGAGGTGGCAGGTTCAAACCCAGCCCTGGCCAAAAAAAAAGTGATTTTAGAATTCTACCTTTGCTGATTCTGTGGGTCTAGAACAGTCTAAGGGAATCTTATTTTTAGGAAATTCCTCAGGTGATTTTGATATACTCCCCTACCTACTCCCTACCCCTTTAAATTTTCAATTTAGAGAAGAATTTATTTTCTTTATTTTAGAAATGAGCTTTTCACCAACAGCAGTATTGCCATTTGGGGCAGGTAATTCTTTGTTGTAGGGGCTGTCCTACATATTTTAGAACATCTAGCAGCATCTTTGGCCTCTACCAGTAGATACTAGTAGTGTGCCCCACCAGTTGGTGCCAACAATTACAAAATGTTTCCTGGAGAGGAAAATCACCCCCAGGTGAGAAGCACGACCTTAGAATGAAAGGCTCTTTCTGAGGCCAGTACATAGCCAAAGCACCACTTAGTGAAGAGGAGAGAACCTACTGCTTGCTTTTTTTTCACTGGAGTGGCTATATTCTCTCCTTTGAGCAAAGAAAAGTATATTGTCACACTTACTTATTAATTAAACCTAGTCTTTATTGGATTTTTAGTAAATTTGTACTTTTATACCATTTGTCAAGATTTATAATTAATCACGTACCTATGTAATATTTATCATTAAGCAGTGAACTCTGTGAAGGCAGGGACATAGTGTCTTTTAGTAAATTTGTCTGGTCTTCCTTACTAGGAAGATGCTAAAGGCTCTGCTTGCACTGTCTCATTTTATCTTCACAGCTGTTACTGTTATCCCTACTTTATAGATGATGAAACTGAAACAGTGAGGTTAAGAAATTTGATCAAGGCTCAGCACCTGTGGCTCAAGTGGCTAAGGCGCCAGCCACATACACCTAAGGTGGCGGGTTCGAATCCAGCCTGGACCCGCCAAAACAACAATGACGGCTGCAACCAAAATATAGCCAAAAAATAGCCAGGCGTTGTGGCGGGCGCCTGTGGTCCCAGCTACTCAGGAGGCTGAGGCAGGAGACTCGCTTGAGCCCAGGAGTTGGAGGTTGCTATGAGCTGTGTGATGCCATGGGTCTCAAAAAAAAAAAAAAGAAAGAAATTTGATCAAGGCCCAGCCATTCCAAATCTTGTAACTCCAGAGCTTGCGGTTTTCACTACAGTGGTAAATCCTCAAATTTATTCTGAATTTGGACTTGATTTGTCATAAGCTTCAAAGCTAACCAATTTCTATGAAGATTTATTTTGATTTTTTTTTTGTTCTCTTCATTATAGCTAATGATTGGTATGTATTTCAGATTTTAAAGAATGTGGAGTCTTCCAGAAATGTTCAGCCACATTTCCTAGAATTTTTGCTCTCCCTTGGCTGGTCAGTAGATGTGGGCAGACACCCTGGTTGGACTGGGCACGTTTCCACTAGCTGGTCTATAAACAGTTGTGATGACGGTGAAGGATCTGAACAAGGTAAAATTCATAATTGTTATTTGTTTGTTTCTTGGGGTTTTTTTTTTTTGTCCTTTCCCCCCTCCTTTACTATGAATTTGTAGAAATTTGAAACAAGAAATTTATTTCTTTTTTTTTACTATGTATTTGTAAATCTTGTTAAAAACATAAACCAAACAGGTATATAATGGAAAACTTTCATTTCCATATACACAGATTCTGTATGTGAAAGATAAATATGTGTGTGTGTATACACATATAATGATAGGGTAATTGATACAGAATTAGTGACTTAATTATTACAATACTGATAAGTTGGCTGGGTGCGATGGCTCACGCCTGTAATCCCAGCAGTTGGGAGGCCATGACAGGTGGATTGCCTGAGCTCACAGGTTTGAAACCAGCCTGAGCCAGAGCAAGACCTTGTCTGTAAAAATAGCTGGGCATGTGACGGGCGCCTGTAGACCCAGCTCCTCGACAGGCCAAGGCAAGAGGATTGCTTGGGCCCAAGAGTCTGAGGTTGCTGTGAGCTGTGACGCCATGACACTCTACCCAGGACAACAAAGTGAGACTCTGTCAAAAAAAAAAAAAAAAACCCCAAAACAAAAACAATACTGATAAGTCCCTTTTTTACAGTATGAGTAAACAAGTTCAGTTTTATATAAAAATATTGTAGTAAATGATATAGCTTCCTAATAAATGTATTTTGTCTAATAGTTTTCTGTATTAACAGATGTGTTTTATAGACTTTGTGGCTATCGAAAGAGTCGCATTAGGTTACATTCTTGGGATACTCTAGCATATCCTTTGTAGTAAGCAGTTGGCTACCTCTGAGAGTCTCCTGCCCATCCCTACAAATCCTCCTGAGGAGCTGTAATTAGGATAACAAGTACCAGAGGAAGTCTAAATTTAAACTAAAGACCTTTGCCCCACCTGGCTAATGATATTTGTTCTTGGGCTTCTGATGTTACTGGAATATTAATATTATCTTTCTAAAGTGGGTAGGGCCTATGTCCAGTGCACATTTTTCATTTTGATAAATCTTACCAGTTGGATATTTATGACTGCCAAATAACAGAACATCTGACCCAAATTGACTTAGATTTTGGAGGTCATTTATTGCCTCATGTCTAAAAATTCCAGAAGTTGCTTTAAGTTTTTGGTATTATTTGATTAACTTTCCTATTTCTTTACAGTTTTTCTTTAGCTCTGTTCTCTGGATGTTAGCTTTGTCCCCAGCCTGGCTTCTCTCACAGTGCAGGAAAACAGTTCCAGGTTTTATATTCACGTGTCACGCTAGCCTGAAGAGAAGAGATTAGCCAGGTCTTGGTATCCCCTTGCTCTCCAAGTCCTGAGCTGCACAGCGATTAGACTGTCCTAAACCTGTCCCTGTGGCAGGAGAGATGGAATGATCCTAGTGGAGAGATGCTGACAAGTTAGAACTGACAGGAAGGGACAGTCTGACTGCTTTGCACTTCATGGCTTCTGCAGTGTAGGGGCGAGTGGGGTGAGGGCTGGGGCAGTGACTGCAGTGTCTACATCATAGATACAAAGTGCCTGTACCAGGAGTCCACAGACAAAGCCCCAGCCTGTTTAAGCTTTGTTGGAATGTAGCCACACTATCTGTGACTGTGTTTGTGCTGCAGTGGCAGAATTGAGTGGTTGTGGCAAAGACTAGAAGGCCTGCAAAACCTGAAATGACTTTACTGTCTGATCCTCTATAGAAAAAGTTTGCTAACCTTTGGTCTTAACTTCCTATTTGCTATGCCTTCAGCAGCATTAGGTATCTTCCAATTTGTTAGGTGAGAGATTTTCTGTTTTTAATTATGATTAATGAGTATCTTTTCATATTTTTATTTCTTTTCTGAGAGTTATTTCTTCATTTCCTTTGCATAATTTTTTGTCAGCTTTTGGCCCATTATGTATTATTGGAAGGACTTTGAGTTCATTTTAATTGATAACTATATTTCTTTTGTTGGGTGGCACCTGTGGCTCAGTGTGTAGGATGCTGGCCCCATATACCAGGGGTGGCGGGTTCAAACCGAGCCTAGGCCAAACTGCAACAAAAAAGTAGCTGGGCATTGTAGCAGGTGCCTATAGTCCAAGCTCCTCTGGAGGCTGAGGCAAGAGAATCGCCTAAGCCCAGGAGTTGGAGGTTGCTATGAGCTGTGTGATGCCATGGCACTCTACTGAGGGCAATAAAGTGAGACTTTTGTCTCTACAAAAAAAAAAAAGAGAGAGAGAGAGAAAGAGAATTTCTTTTGTTAATTCAGCCATGCTGGCTTAGAGCAGTTATCACTAAAACTGTACCTTTTTATCTGACATCACTGACCCCTGGGGAAGGTGGAGCAGAAGCCGAGCTGAGGAGCAGTTTAGAGACCAGGAACTGAAATGCCTTGTAAGCAGGAGTCCACGTGTACACACACCCCGAACGTTAACTCCCTTCACAGGGACTGCGATGGTCTTCCTGTTGATCATTACCTGTTTCAAAAGGATTGCTTTCTTTTTTTCTTTTCTTTTCATTTCTTTCCCTTTCCTTTTCTTTTTTTTTTCTCTTCTTTCTTTCTTTTTCTTTTTTTTGCTATAACTTCATACATAAACTTTGATTTCCCTATTTTCCCCCATACTGTATTGTGAGCATTTTTCTTTATTACTAAATAATCTTTGAATCTGTTGATCTCACAGCTTGCAAATGCCAAATGCTTCCTAATCCTAATGAGAGTAGTGACCTTCACTCCCTCACCCTTCCCAGTCTGTCCTGCATTTTTGAAAGAGAATTGTTTATAGGGACCTATGAACTGAGTAATTCCCTCCTAAATTAATATGGTTTTGTGGCTACCTTCCTAAGGGTGAGATGTCCCTACCCACCCTTAGGTGATCTACCCTTCTCCCCATCCTAAGTCCCCAGAAACAAGAGAGAAAGGTAGGGTCACTTAGTTTAGCCTGAAGGCAATGCCATAGGCATCCAAAAGGCATAGGCCCCCCTTTGCCTGAGAAAGGTGGAAAGAAAGGCCTTGTTGAACAAATAAAGTATCCCTGGGGCTCTGGAAATTATCATATTTGCCAAGAATGGAGTAACATATGATAAGCCTTTATCTTCACAACCACCCGAATGAATACTTGATCCCATCATCATCCACATTTTGCAGATTATCTACATCAGATGGTGTGGTGTCAAATGGGATTACAAGACCTATTGCTTTTCAAATTTTGCAGGCTTGAAGACTCATTAATTCCCACAACAATCCTAAATTATCTGGTAAATTTGTTTTTACATTTTGCAGATGAGGAGCTTGAGTTCAGAGAGTTTGAGATTTTATCCAAATTACAAGTTAGTTTCTGATCCAATGAGGATTCCAACCAGGTTAAGCGTGCCTTTATCAACCTTGCAACCCTAAGCATGAATCTGTGGACCTGTCTCCCATTTGAGACTCAAGGCTTCCAACAGGATCCCTTAATAGGGAGCTCAGTGACCCACAAGCACACTTTTCATTACCCTGGACCACCCCCTGCCCAACCCTCCCACACACACACACAGAGAATCTGCAAGACTGGAGAATGGAGATCTCCTTGACTATTCACCCTGACTTCCTCCATCATTGTAAAGTACACATAATCCTCTGGCACCCCTCCCTCCATCACCTCCCCAGAGACCACCTCTGTCTACCCAGGACTTGGGAAAACCAGGTACACTGTGGTGAAGGTTCAGGCCTGCTTTTTCTGTATCTGAGTCCTGCAGATGAGTTAAAGGCCCTGCTGATAAGAAGTGGTCTGATACAGAGTCACTGCATTTTGTTTCTTTTCCTGTGATTATCCTTGTTCCTACAGAGTCATTTCAGAAACACGAAGTTAAGATTTTATGATCTGAAATAATGATTTTATATATAAGGACATTTAATGAACATTATAACTTTTTATTCTTACACACTAATTGGTTTTGTTGGAAACATGTCTTCTGTTATTTATTATGACTTTATTAACCAGTAACCATTTCATGAAGCATGATGATACTGTTTTTCTCCTCACTTTTCAAGCAATAATACACTGTTTTTTGTTCTAGATGAAGTGATTTCCTCTGAAGATATTGGAGCTAGCATTTTCAATGGCCAGAAGAAGGTGCTATATTATGCTGATGCCCTTACGGAAATAGCTTTTGTAGTTCCTTCTCCTGTGGAGTCCTTAAGTAAGAACTTTTTTTTTTTAAGAGATGGGGCTCGGCGCCTGTGGCTCAAGCGGCTAAGGCGCCAGCCACATACACCTAAGGTGGCGGGTTCGAATCCCCAGCCCGGGCCCGCCAAACAACAATGATGGCTGCAACCAAAAAATGGCCAGGCGTTGTGGCGGGCACCTGTAGTCCCAGCTACTTGGGAGGCGGAGGCAGGAGACTCGCTTGAGCCCAGGAGTTGGAGGTTGCTGTGAGTGTGATGCCATGGCACTCTACCCAGGGGGATAGCTTGAGGCTCCATCTCAAAAAAAAAAAAAAAAAAAAGAGATGGGTTGGGGCATCATTTTAGGATCCATTTTTGTATTCCTGGTTTGTGCAGTATTATTGCATTAGAAGAGATGTTGAAGTGATCTGAGGAATTCTTTACCTTCTAAGGCATTATAACTATTATATTATACAGAGGTATAAGATGTTATCTTCTCTTAGCTTTGTTATGGAAAGTAGTTAAAGACAGGCAGACTAACCCTCTAATAATATTTGTAAAATGGAAGAGTCCCACTTCAGCCTATTTTGTCTGTCTTTAATTAATCAGTACATATAAGGGCTGTTTTCCAGTTTGCTTATTTCTTTCTTGAATTATGAGTGAGCCCTCGCCTACTTCCCTATTCCCATATAAGAGCCTTTATGTGGAACCCCATAGAATCCTACAACCGGAAGGATCTCGTAATAGCATCTACCTGGGCACTTAGCAGGAGAAACTTCAACAGCTAGAAAAGGTGGTGGTCAAGGCTATTTTCCTTAGTCTGATTAAATATATAGTCAAAAATAATTCAGAGAATAATAATGGTGTTTATTATGTTCTTCCTCCTTCTCCTCCTCTTCTTTTTCCTCTTCATTTTTTTTTTTTTGAGACAGGGTTTTATTCTGTTGCCCAGGCTAGAGTATAGTGTGCAGTGGCATCATCATAAGTCACTGTAACCTCAAACTCCTGGGCTACAGAGATCCTCCTGCCTCAACCTTGCATGCCCAGCCAGCATTTATTATATTCTGTACCTGAAAAATCAAATTCTAGTTTTAACCTCAGTTATCACCTGTAGAACAGGAGCCAACAAACTATAGTGCACAAGCCAAATACAGCCAAGAGTGGGTTTTCCCTTTATAAAGAGTTATAAAGTATGAAGAAGAATATGCAGCAGGCACCTATATGGTTAGCAAAGCTTAAACTGTTTATTGCCTGATCCTTTTAGAAAAAGATGAAGAAGTCAAGTGTTGCATGGTAATGTAGGATTTTAGCCAGTTCCAATATTCAGTGTTTGGCTTCCCTTGTACTCATTTTCTGAATGTTAGAAGCAACGCTTTGTTTTTTAAGTGACTTACGTTAGACTAGTGGGCACCACTCATTAAAACATTTTTGCTCTGAAGAAGTAGTAGGCATTGTAATTGCTTGTTTTCTTTACATCATAGCTGATTCATTGGAAAGTAACATCTCGGATCAAGATAGTGATTCAAATATGGATCTTATGCCAGGAATTCTGAAACAGCCATCCCTGACACTTGAGCTTTTCCCTAATCATACAGACAATCTTAATTCCTCACAGAGGGTAAGTCACTTTGTTGATATATATCCAAAAGTTTGTAGTGAAATGCCTGAAAAGCTTAAAATTTTAACCCAGAGAGTAATTTTAGCAGAGTACTGATTCATCAGTAACTTAATTTTTTGAAGTAATATTCTCACAATTTTCTTTTTTTCCACCTGCAATAAATAGTTCATTCTGCAACATTTTTTATGGTTTTCCTTGATTTCACCATTCTGGGTCCTATCTTTGATTCTCTCACCTATTCCCTTTCAAGCTTAGATTTTTATTTGGTCCCTGAAATAGCCGCTAAAGGTACAGCAGTAGCTATATGTATCCTATCTTTAATCATATAATGTTCAGCTTACACAAGTGTGACAATATAAAAATGACAATATTTTAGAGAATAGCCCAGCATATGAATAAATATACTGAGTGAGGAACACAGCCCCCAGTACGAGAAGTGAACTTTTTGCTTTTATACTTTTCTCTTACCTCATTGGCACATGTTATTTCTTTATTTACTCTCATGACATCTCCTAATCCTTACTGGAAAATAACCCAAATAAGTAAGAGCAAGAGTACAGTATCATGTTGTTAGTGTAAGAAGACTGATTTAGAATAAATAATAAAGACAAAAGAAATGTGGTATTTTAGTTTAGTTTCCTTTTACAGTGAAAATTATTTTTAATAGAAGTATATACTTAAGAGAATATGGGAGAGATTCATACTTTTAAAATTGATTTAGAAAAAAAAGTTAAATTGTATGAGACTCCCTAAAGCAGACTGATTTTGCAAAGGATTTCTTAAAGGTTTCACAAAATATAGTTTAGAGATGAACAAGTGAGTGTTGTGTGGTAAAGTGCAGGTCTAGCCAGATCTAAGATTCAGTGATTGACTACCTTTGTGCTTACTTTCTGAACGCCAGCATAGGTATTCCTTAAACCTCAGAGACCAACAACTCTTAAAAGCATCATGCTTTTATTTATACCTATGTAGTACTTTATAGACTACTAACAAAATAAAAAAAGCAAACTCACAGAGAAAAAGCAGTTGGCAGAAACTCAACATTCATCCATTATAAAAATTCTCAGTAAACTGAATAGAACTTCTTTATTTAGGAAGAAGTAAATCTGTATGTATTTGCAGATGGTATGGTCGCATATGTAGAAAACTTTGGAGGAATCTACTTTAAAATTCTACTACAACTATTGAGTGAGTTTAGCAAGATTCCAGGAAAATAGGAAGATGTGTTGGGCAAAATTTTAAGATGGCTTCCAATGACCCTTGACCTTGTATGATGTCCTCCCTTTGCATATGTGTGGAACCTGTGACTATGATAAGATATCCTATGATTATGTTATGTTATAGTTATATGGCAAAGGGATTTTGTGAGTTTAATTACTTTGAGCAGAAGGGACATTATCCATTATTAAGACTGATCTTAATCATAGGAGCCTTTTAAATCTGGAACTGGAAGTCAAAGTAGGAGTAGGAGCCATGATGCTAAGAAAGTAGTCTCTGAGTATGGCTGGACATGTGTCACAGTTTGGGAGAAATCTCTTGGTCAGTCATTTTCCGTGAATGTTACAGTAGAAATGAAAAACTGGGGGACTTGCCAAGGACTTGCACATCATGTCATCTGGTAAAGACATATATCTCTGTGATTAAAAAAAAAAAAAAGACAGTTTTATTTTAAAAGTTCACCTCAGCTTGGCGCCTGTAGCTCAAGCAGCTAAGGTGCCAGCCACATACACCAGAGCTGGCAGGTTTGAATCCAGCCCAGGCCTGCCAAACAACAATGACAACTACAACCAAAAAATAGCTGGGTGTTGTGTTGGGCACCTGTAATCCCAGCTATTTGGGAGGCTGAGGCAAGAGAACCACTTAAGCCCAGGAGTCGGAGATTGCTATGAATTGTGATGCCACGGCACTCTACCCAGGGCAACAGCTTGAGGTTCTTCCCTCTCCCATACCACCCTGAACGCACCTGATCTCATCTAATCTTAGAAGCTAAGCAGGGTTGGGCCTGGTTAGTACTTGGATGGGAGATTCTTCCCTCCGTACACATGAACTTTATTTAGGACTTTTAGCACAAACTTAGCTGCATGCCCCAAGAGTTGTGTAGCTCAGAGTGCCAGTTTGCTAAAGGGGAGCCACATAGTCCTGTTCGCTTTACAATGGAACTTAAATCTGATGAGTGGCAGGAACACTGAGCATGGTAGTGAAGACCCAACAAAGTTTTTTCTTTCTGTGGATGAGAAAAAAGAACAAGGCATAGATTGCAGTAGAAAACATTTAGTCTGAGAACTAGGAGTAATAGATATCAGGATCTCCAGGCAAAGTAGTGAAGTCACTGTAACAGGGAAAGCATAGTGCTTTCTGCTTACTATAGAGATTGACTCAAATCCTTTTACACCCTCAATAAAGACGTTACCTATATATTTTCTTTTTATTAATGCAAGTTATTATTGTTCAGTATTCCTTACCTTTTTTCCTTTGACAGTTTTGGGCCTTCGTTTCCTCATTCTAGGTTAAGACTGATAATATCCAAAGAAGAGTATTTTTGTAAATGTATTTCACTCTTTCACTCTTTTTTTCCTAGTGATTTCTCATAACCTGATACTTACTTTCCTGGGCATCTTGATAAATGTATGACTGGGTAATTTTATTAAGCCATATCTTCTTTTCCATATAACCCCTCTTTTTCCTTACCCAGCTCAGTCCCAGTTCCAGAATGAAGAAACTGCCTCAGGGTCGCCCTGTGCCTCCTCTTGGACCTGAGACGAGAGTGTCTGTAGTTTGGGTGGAACGCTATGATGATATAGGTACTGTATGAGGACTTGTCCATAAATAAAATGACAGTGGACTGATAAGAACTTGCTAAGTGTGTGGGGCGGGGGTGGGGGGTGGGGGTGGGGGCGGGGAGTGTAGGCAGGATGTGGTGGCCAAGAGTTAGTTCTGGAGTTCAGTAGGCCTGGATTTGCATCCAGCTCCACCACTCACTTTCATTAAGCCTTAGCTTACTCATTTGTTAAATGGAAAAAATTGTGGCACATTTTTCATAGCTGTGAAGATTTATGATATTAGCATATACAAAGCTTTTAGTTATTCATACTGATATCACAGTCAGTAGTTCGTTGCCAATTGGTGATAGTCATCCCAGGACCTCTGTAAATGGGAAAGGGAGTCATTGTTTACCCTCTCTCCACAGGCCCAACTGTCTAATCTCAGTGTATAGATCAATTTGTTCTTAAGAGTTCTGGCATGGCAGCACCCATAGCTCAGTGGGTAGGGCGCCGGCCACATACACTGAGGCAGGTGGGTTTAAATCTGCCCTACTAAATAACAATGACGACTGCAACAAAAAAATAGCCAGGCGTTGTGGTGGTCGACTGTAGTCCCAGCTATTTGGGAGGCTGAGGCAAGAGAATTGCTTATGCCCAAGAGTTAGAGGTTGCTGTCACGCCACTGCACTCTACCCAGGGCGATACAGTGAGACTCTGTCTCAAAAAAAAAAAAAAGAGTTCTGCTATGAATAAGTTTCTTAGGATTTTTATGTTAGTAACAAGAGAGCATTAGAAATGCATACTTTACCCATAATCCCATCCAGCCTAGAATTTGTAGGAAAGTGTATTAAGTACTTTACAACCAAGCCTTCAAAACCATAGAACATACTCTCTAAGAACTTTCAGCTTTAGATGAAATTAGCTAAAACTGTGGTCCCTAATTCTGGGTCCACAGACCAACACTGGTCCATAGCATGTTAGGAACCAGGCCGCGTAACATCAATGCCTCAGGTCCTCCTCTTATCCCCCCACATGCCCTGTCAGTGGAAAAATGGTCTTCTATTACAGTCCCTGGGCTAAAATATGTCTTGAGGGAGTATTTTTTAATTTGTAGGGAATAGTTAGGATTATATATTTTAGGATAGCAGAATCCATGTGTTTGTTGACTGCTTGTGTGAAGAGTTTAAGAAATTAGATATTAATTGTAAGGCTGTTATTTTCTTCTAGAAAATTTTCCCCTCTCAGATCTGATGACAGAGATCAGTACTGGTGTGGAAACTACTGCAAATAGTAGCACTTCTCTGAGGTACATGTTTTTTATTTGCTTACTATCCATCAGAATGTCTATTTTTTATATATTGATTGCAGCTTACTAAAGAAATAATTACATGAAACAGAAGGGTTGTAGGGACTTGGGGCTGTAGCACAGTGTTTAGGGCACCAGCCACATATACCGAGGCTGGCGTGTTTGAACCCAGCCTGGGCCTGCTAAACAACAGTAACAACTGCAACAACAAAATAGCCGGGCGTTGTGGCCGGCACCTGTAGTCCCAGCTACTTGGGAGGCTGAGGCAAGAGAA